GGTGTGTGTGTGTGTGTGTGTGTGTGTGTGTGTGTGTGTGTGTTTGTGTGTGTGAATGTGTTTGTGTGTGTGTGTGTCTCTTAGTGCTTCGTAGGTGGTGACACTTGAGAGCGTGTGCTTGTGTATGATTGTCATTAGCGACAAGAGCTGTGGGTCTGTTTTCTCTTACACATTTATTGTGTCACAACATGGAGGAATCAGGCGCTCGTCTATTTTGGACATATTTGAGTTATTGGTATTACTTTAAAACTTGTTCATTTGTCTTGCTTTTGGTGGCAAAAAATACCCATCTATCCTGATTAGAAGTCGAGATATCAATTTGTGATTAAAGTAGGTGGGGGTCACCTGGTGTCAAAGGTGTGGTAAATTAGGCGAGAAAAGGGTCGCCAAATTTTGGTGACTTCAAAAACTTGAGTGTTCTTGAAATTCGCAAATCTGCATTTTTTGTGCCTTTAATTAACATTTTCAGTAAAATCCACACAGAAATAATATGATTTAAATGGACGTAAATGGTGTTGCCCCCCCCCCCCCCAAAAAAAAAAAGAAAGAAAGAAAAGAAAATTCGAGAAGACAACTTCTCAGCCGGCAGAAATATGCCGGTTCCTTTGATTTCATCATTTTGACGAGCGCCCGATTCCACCACGATGACTCACATTTCAATCTTCAACATCATTACTTACAGGTAATCTCGTTCCAAGATCTGGACAAAGACCTCCAAGTGGGCACAAAATGCCAACCTTTACTCGCAGTGGGCGAGCTCTGTCTGCGACAGTCGGAAGGCTACCTCTGCGACTGCGCGAAAGGATTGAGATGTGACTTCCGGAATAACGAGACATACGGGCACTGTGCCTTCGATGACGGCAGCCAAGAGTCTCCCGAAAGGAAGGGCACGGCTGTCGGGTGATGTTGGCACTTGAATACTTTTCTTTTTTACGTGACTGAATGCGATTTGAAAGCCACAGACTCAATCATAATATTATGATAGTGTGATTTATTATTAATGTCTTGTTCTGTTGGGGTTTTTTAAAGACTGGATGAGATTTGAAAGCCACAGACTCGATTATATTATTATGAACATGTTATTTATTATTGATGGATGCTTGATTTGTTTGCGAGAGCAAGGAGTTTCTGCAAGACATAATTGGAAATGGAAATAAAGTTGGAAGTACGCTGCTGGGTGGTTGGCGGGTGCTCTGGTGTGGTTTGCTCCTTATTTCCTATCAGACATCTATAGTTCTTGTCTGTCTTCCTTCTTTTGATTGTTTGTTACTCTCTTGTAACACCTCTAACATTCAGCCCTAATACGTCATAGATCTAAATGTGTTGCAAGTGCTTTTACTGAAACAAATAGTACTCTAGGTCCTCAGCTGGGTATTCTAAACCAAAATTTTCACGTGAGAGTGGTTGAAGGGCACCAATGGTGGGCTCTGCTTCCTTTCCTTCCGTCTATTATTTATATCTGTCTGTCTGTCTGTCTGTCTGTCTGTCTGTCTGTCTGTCTGTCTGTCTGTCTGTCTGTCTGTCTGTCTGTCTGTCTATCTGTCTGTCTGTCTGTCTGTCTGACTTACTTGTTTCCCCTGTACTATGACTGTTGTTGTGTCGGTGTTGATTTCTTCACTCAAACTAACAAAAGCGGAACTTTTCGACCCTGGTGAGAATCAAAGGGCATCAGCAGCTTATCTCACTTACAATCTCATCTTATGATCTCACAGCTCCTTTGCCCTCTTTTGTTTTGTAAGTGTTTTACGGCGCTCACAACTGCGTAAGGTTTTACTAGTGTGCAGGACACATTAAACATTTTCAGAGAAGCCAAGGTGTTTGATGTCACCTACCATAATATCAGGAGTGTGGGTGGCAGACAGCAGTAAGAAGGAGCCAAGGTGTAGCAGTAGAAAGGCCCACAGTAGGGGGCAGAAATTGGAGACGAAAGCTAACGACTGACCGTTGTTACAGAGCAGGAGAAGAGATGAAAGGAGAAAATTTTGGAGAAAAAATGTTTCGTCCCTGCGTCATGTCTGGAATCGAACCGGGACCTATTGAATGAGAGGCGAACACCGTAACCTCTCGACCACGAGAACTCCCGTGTGCCCTCTTTAGGCCCAAACGTGTGTTAGAGAATATATGTGGTAGTACAGCAAGATTAAAATGTCTGGAGATTAGAGATATTTTAGGTGACCGTTCGTTGTGTTATATTGTCTTACACGCCGGAGTTTCTAGAGCCCAAAACAATTGAATCAAGGTTTTTAAAAAAAATTCAGCTTGGCGCAGCTTGACTCAAAGTCGCAAATGTGAACAATTTTCAATTCAAAGTTAAAGTTCAAATATACATGTATGACACTAGCTGGATCCCCTTACGATGAAAGGAATGATCGTTGCATTAACATCAACTGACTGTTTTTTGGCCTACTATATTTACACTCTACCGGAATGGAACTATAAACTTGAGAGATGAAAAAAAAATTAGAAGGTCTAGATCAATACTCTCGAAGCAAAATACGCCTCGCCAAATATTAGTTCCGGCATTTCTGCTGTGACGGACAGCTACGCAGATTTGTTTCGTTTCTCAGTGGAATAATCACAAAGGCCATTAAAGAAGGACGGGAACTTTTGTCAAATATATTTTTCTCAATTAAGAAAATTCATGGGGACCTATCTGTCTTTTTGCAGGTACCTGTGAACTTTCAATTCTGTAGCTGTCGTAGTTTTATGGGAAAGATGACACATGTGTTTCCAAGTTGCCAAATATATAATTGATTACGTAGGATATTTCTGGACATTGTTTTGAAAGATAAGATTTTATCAAAATGCCAAATGCCCTAGATCTATAATATCATTACTCAGGTCTTATCGATTTGTATAACTGTTGAGTTCATTTTCTCAGAGAGGAATTTTTATATATAAATAAATCATATACCCTTTTTAATTATATTACCAACCTGCACATAAATAATGTATGTTGTTTGCATTGTATAAAAATAAACAGAAATCAAGTTTGAAATACAGCAAAATGCAAGACATTATTTCCAATCGGCCCACATTTTACCACTGCATGAGCAACTTCTCGAATTTATCGAGAGAAAAAAAATCAGCTAAACATTGTTGAAATGGACTGATACTGGTAAACCAGCCCCTCTCTTTCAACACATTCAGATTGGAAACAAAATGTAATGGTAGAAACTTAACGGCCTTTATAGATCATTTAGGAGGTGGGCTGCTTCGACCTTCTCTTTCAGGACCAACTTGGGCGTAAAGGGATACAACGCGGTGTGGTAACAGAAAGACCAAGATACTCGATAACCGCCCCCCCCCCCCCCCCCTTTCCAAATGGGAATCAAACACCACTTTTGCCCCTACCCCACACACATTTGGGGGGGGGGGGGGGGGGGGGGGGGCTTTGGAGAGTATCGCAAGAAAGCAGTATTCTAAGATGTACATGTACTCCCTCAAAATTCGATGGTCTTGTTTTTTTAATGTGTTCGTACCCTTAGATGCTCGGCGTTGGCAGTTAGTGGTTAGACTACCGGACTCTAGATCGTGAGGTTGGGGATTCGGGGGTTCCTGGTTCAAATTGGTCCAACATTGTATCCTTGAGAAAGGCACTTCACACGAATTGTCCCATTTTGGCTCGATCCTTTTGGAGATGGGCGTTAAATTCAAAGGTCACACCCCTCAAATAACCTTATAGCGTTGCAAAGGGGTCTCAAACCTATATAATTTGGCCATATCCCCTCATATACTCTGAATATAATGCCCCTAGTGGAAGTCGGAAACTCTTTTAAGACAGAGTTTTGTTTTTGTTTGTTTGTTTGTTTCTTCTTTTTAACCTTAAACTAATGTATATCTACGTGACGTACCTACCCCCAGAGATATTGTCAATGTCAAACTATGGTAAATCATGTTTTTCAAATTTTACAGGAGAGACAAAAAAAAGTAGATTTTCTTGAAGCGTTTTGTGAGGATTAACTTCATTTCCATAAGGGAGTCTACAAATGCTATAACAGACATTAGGTTCCCTTATGAAAATGAAGTTTATCAGCCTAAATTGCTTCAAGAAAATCCAATTTTGTCTCTCCTGTAAGATTTGAAAAACATGACTTACCATATGTGAGGCAGCGTGGAGGAATCAGGCTCTCGTCGAAATAATGAAATCAAGGATATTGGCATTTTTCTGCCCGTTTGGCATTTTTTATCAAATTTTTGTTTTTAAGCTCAACAGCTTTTATGTCCATTTAAAAACACATTTCTGTGTAAATTATCCCGAAAAACGTTGATTAAATGTACAAATAATGTAAATTTTCAGTTTTCAAGGACTCTCACGCATTGAAAGATACCAAGTTTTGGCGGTCTTTTTCTCCCTTACTTTTCCTCTGAAATCAGGTGACCCCACCTCCTTTATTCGCTAATATCTCGACTTGCATTCAAGATAAATGGATATTTTTCATTCAAATAAAAATAGACGAACAAGCTTTAAGATGATACCAATAACTCTACATGCCCAAAAATTGACGAGAGCCTTATTCCACCACGCTGCCTCACATAGTTTTCTTGGCGGCTCTCGAAATCTCGGATACCGCGACGTCCTTTCGAGAGGCGCCAAGTAAACTATGGTAAGTCATGTTTCGACAGAACCACGTCTGCACTCCCATTACCTCTGACGTATGCCCTGATTAGGTTGAGTGTGTCGCTCGCTACCTTCGAATTACAAAAGTTTTATCTGACATTTTGGGCCGTTTTGAGCTACCAAGACCATGAGATTAGAAACCAAACGCTGTAGATCTGCTCTACCAAAATTGTAAGATAATTATTCGAAGAATTACAATTTCGAAAAAAACTTGATCATCTAGTGAAACTCATTTTTAACTTCTAATTTTTCAAAACTTGGTACTGAGCAGACAGAACTTTGCAATAAGTGTAGGGTAGCGATGAGGCGGGCGTGCGAAGGTCTCTGTACAGCATTACCCAAACTTGGCTTTCCTCAACAAACTTTGTTTAATCGTACCACTCACTGTTTGGTACCTTCCCACTTACTTATTTTTTACGTGTTGCTTTCTTTGTATTGGGCATGGACTTCTACTATAACACCCAAGACTCTGCACTCTGACGTAATTCCGGTCCACAACGGTGCGCGTCGCCATTGACTCTATTTGGGACCAATTAACAAAGGGCAAAAAAATGTGTGTGTTTGTCGGGGGGGGGGGGGTGGAGGTGCTCCCTCGATCACTCCACAACTATAACGAGACTGGTCTTTAACCCTTCATTTGCCCGCCCATCGTGAACACCATGTGGTGAAGTTTGTTGCTTTATAGGGGAGGGGGGGGTTAAGAGCAAAGAGCAGCGCACGACAGTGCCTGTTCAAGAGTAATATAACTTGCGTTTATTTAAGGCATTGGATCTGCTCCTGGGTTATTGTTTTTTAAACTTTGGCATTTGATTTTCATGATACTTTTATCTCGTGCCATGCTGTATCAGCATTCTGCATTCTGATGGTGCGGAAA